GGTCTTGCCCTCTCAGTTTACATCTTTGTTTGTCCCATTGTTTAGTTGAACCTGACATTGGAAGGGTCAAACGTTTTAGCATTTGTTTTCCTGAGTGCTCATGTGCTGGTGTTGACTTGTAAAAGGATTTTGTGTTTGTGGCAGTGAATTATTGATACCTAATCTGATCAGACAGACAGAGGAAAAACTACATGACTTGAACATTACACCTGTTGTTTGAATCATTTATGGCATTGCTGCATTTCCCAGCGGTGCTCAGCTGTTGTCCCCGGTGGTTTCAAGAAATTGCTGTAAACTGTTCCCGTGTGAATGCTAACAGTTAAGGGGTCGCACACAAGTGAGAGGGCCAAGTCCAGACGACAGTTGACAGTGGACTTGAAGATTTATTGTGTAAGGGACACAAACTGACATTTTGTTAATTGTAAACTGCAATATAAATCTGCTTAAGAATAAAAACGGGTCTATTGAAGGTGCACTGCGTAACATTTCTAGTGGTGGTTCACCACCTGATTGTCTCCATGGAAATGGTATTGCTTTGTCCAGCCTGTTCCACTCTATAGATTAAACTTGTCTGTCACAAGAGAGACAAGCAGGTTACAGCACTACAATACATTACAATTCACATCTGTGGAGAGTCTCTCCTATTCACAGAAGGAATAATTGTATTTTTTGAACAAATAGAAACACACATAATGAATAAAGGCTATATGGATATGGTTAATGTCATACCATGGAACATTCCAGGAAGTAATAACATCACCATGGAGACAAGTAGGTAGTGGACCCTCCACCAGAAAAGTTGTGCAATGCACTTTTTAACTTCCTGCTCAAAACTGCAGAAATGACCAGAGAGAGGATCAGTCTCCAAATGGTGACATTTCCACATATCAAGCAGCTGATTTTCATTTGTGTTTTTATTGTTAAAACAACATTGTGACAGTTTCAAACCCTATGTGTATGACCTGGAGTTTGAAATGTTTAATATTTGCAAGCAAAGAAAAGTGGTGGGTGAAAACAAATATCTTCTGAACATACAAGCCTCAAATGCAGGGCAGTACAAGATTACTCAAATATGTATGAATCAATTGAAATACAACTCATAAATACAGTAAAAAAAATACCTCAAAACTCTATTTTACATACTATGCTCTCTTTTAAATGTGGCTTACTGTTACACTAAAAGCATCCTGTAATACATACTTTGTTTTAATAATATTGTTTGCCATGGCTAAGTCTCGGCCCCTTAATTACAGTTTTCCTTCTCTGCATACTTTCATCACATAATTATAGTAGGACATTACACGTGTAAACAGCACTCATGGGCGAGTGGTGGGCGAGGAGTGGGCGAGGGGTGGGTGAGGGGTAGGTGAGGGGTAGGTTTGGCCTTGAGGGAGAGAAACAGAACTACTTGAATGACACTGGAGCCTACGCCTCAGTGTTTATCTACAGAGCAAACAAAAGCTACCAGGTATACACGTGAAGGTGAATGGGCCACACCTCACTGCTCCTCTGACAGCTCAATGCGACTGGAGATAGAAATAAATTGGCCCGTGAGGTTATTTCTCCTTGTGGAACAAAAGAACTGCCATGGCTTTTCAGAAACTTGGAAGTGTTTTGATTTGTTTGAAACGTTGCAGGTCTCTGTACTGTAGTGCGCTGGAGTGAAGGGAAGTCTGGTGTCACAAGTGGGGTCGAATGATAAGATAAGATAACAGCTACAAGATGACAACAGAGATTGCTAGTAGTGGTAACATGAGAGTTTGAGTGTATTCATAGGAGCAGTCTCAGTGAATCTCATCAGTTGAAGAGTATAACTATTTTCTAAAATGTTTGGGTAAAACCTTATAATAACTACAGTAATGACTACAATTAAACCCTACCCATAATAAAGCATGAACAAAGACTTAATTCAACACACAGTTTATTAAGAACAATTCCCACTTTTTAACTACTTAATTAAAGGTCCTTTATTATACTAAATAGATTTTTGTGAGCTTTAAATATGTTATAATGTTGTTACTTCATCAAAAACTTTCATTCACACATGTATGACTAATCCTTTATTATTAGTCTGTCTACATCTCTAAGGATCAAAATGCTCCGTTCCACTTTGTAATCTCATGTAGTGATAGTTTACAGCTACCTTTTTACCTTTACTTCAGTAGAGATTGGAAATTATCCAAATGATTCTAGTGAAAGAATATGGAGTTTAAACACAGAAATTGTCTTTTTTCTAAACACAGAAATACAACATATTCTACACAATGAGCTATATTCATCCCTTATCTTGTAAATCCTCAGAGTATTATCAGATAAGTGTCTTTTTGTCTGTTTTGCGTGCCTGGACGTCGGTAAGTAGTGGGTGCTCACTTGTGTTGTATAAACTACCAGCAGTTTATTAGAACAGTGGAGTATGTGAGATTCCTCAGGCTGTCTTATGTTCAGCTTGACTTCTTTAGTGAGTCCCTGGCACTTCCTTTGGCCCGTATCTGATTGTATGCGATAGGAGTCTAAGAGTGAACACCTGTGGAGGGCAGGATAGGGGTGTTACTGTAAATGTAGTCCATTGTCTCTATAGTCTCTCACTGCTATGTCGAGGTAATTCAGGTTCAATAAGAGGATAATGCCTACTGTCATTTTTAAAGTTTACTCAGAAGGGATTTTCAGAGAAAGAGTGGGTGGAAGTGTATGTTTGTTGCTTTGATGCTTTGTTTGGGCAAACTAGCATGCACAAATGATCTGCAGATGAACAGAAAAAAATCTAAAATTTAGATATATCAATTTGAATGTACAAATGGCCAAAATGGCACATATTTACAATATAAAAATCTGTATAAAAATATTTTATTATTATTATTTGAGAGAGCCAAACTTCTGTTTAAAGTTTTATGTAAGTCCCTGTCTGGGCAGTGGTTGTTGGTATACTCTCTTAGTACATTGACACAAGTTTCTTCATCCACTCATAGAAATAGTTGTGTGCAATATATTTAAGTTTTGAGTAGGAGCAGGTACAATTAATTTGAAGTGTGGCCCAGTGTCTTCTTTGCTGTAGAAACAGAACCTGGTGGGAGCAAGTCCCTCAAAGACATTTATTTCTCTATTTTTCTCACAGTGTAATTGCATTTCAATAATGCATGCAGCTGTCTGCTGGAGCTCAGAGTCAGCAGACATTTTTACTGTAAGCAAATGTATCACTTGTGCATCTTAAACTGAGTCTGTGTTTAAATATGTATTTATGTTTTAGACATGGTCTTTTCTCTTGTAAATGTAACCCTACCTTTGTCCGGTTTCTAGGAGTTCTTGGGTTGCTCTCTGCTCACCTGACTAACGTTACTCAGCAATCTTACTCGAAATACCTCCAACCACATCCACACAAGCGCCAGTTCAACATGACACCACCTCTTTATGTTTCAGCTGGTTACTATAGTGCTGACAACTGTGTGAAAAGCAGTCACTGAAACACACTTTAATGTCATAGCTTTGTGTCAGTTTCTAATTATTGTCTGTGTGAAATCGTGCTGCACAATATATTGCAAAAGTATAGTGCAGTAATATCACTAATTGAACAGATCACCACCAAGACAAGTTTTTTTTTAGCAGATAGAAATGTATTTATCATTCTCCTTGTGTCCCAAATCAGGCTTGATTTTATCTTGGTTTTGTTTGTTTAGTTTTATCTCTATTGTACAGCTTAGTTTGAAACATATGTCATTTATTTTTTTGTATATCACTATAAATAATTATATTCCAAATATATTCCAAATAATTTCCCTTGTAGATCAGTAAAGTTTGTCTAAGTCTAATGATTAAAAACAATGAATTGCTTAAATACACTCATATGCCTTTTGAAGGAAATTTAAGTGAATTGACAGAAAATGATCTATTTGAGAGATTGTACGTGGTCGTCTTGCAGAGAAACTTTAAACTGGACAATGAATAGTTTAAAAAGTCTGTATGATGGATTGGAGTTTCAGGTCTTAGCTCCATGTCAGCTCAGATTTCACCTGCTTCTCCGGTTTGGGGCATGTTTGAGTACACCAAGATGCACAGTTGATATTTGTCAGAAAAAAGGCTTTGAAAGACTCAAATACCTGTAATTCCTGTGCATATTTATTTATAGTAGTTTGGTGTGATAAGTATTTCAATTCTCAATACTCCTCCTGATACAATTTACATCCAGTGACCTTTTTTGCGTCTGAGGTTGACCTTTGTCCTTTGGCATGACACTGGCAGGTGTACAACAGTCCAGCTGCTCCTCTTTCTCTTAATCTTTAAAAATGCTTAGTGCATGTCCCTCTTATTATTGTACAGGTCCAATTGAAGTCTGAACATTGAATCATACCAGGACCACCTCACAGGCTCCTGCAGCTTAGTGACACAACTGTTTAATGGTTAGATGAGTGACTTGCATTTGCAGTGAATGAGAGCTCCCCTTAAAGGCCAGACAGAGGCCACTGGGCAGAGAATAGATGTTTAGCAGCAGTTTGAGTCTGTCTCCAGCCACATGCAGCTAAAGCTACCGTGGCTAACCTGCTCAGTCTAATCACCACACACACAAGCCTGACACTGAGCCTCCCGCCACTGCAGAAATCCTCACTGAATCACACAATACTCTACATATGGCACTTCTTAGGCTAAAGAAGTACTATTAACTAATAAAAATGTTGGACAGATAGGAAAGGTTGGTGCTGGTAACCTATAACAACCAGCAAGTAAAACAACTGAGACCAAATGCCAAATCTGTTCCAGTTTCCCAATTATATATTATGGTTTTACAGAACTGCCAGATTTTCGTTGTTGTTTTTTTAGTCTTATTTCAAGTTAGCCATCTTTTTGTTTTCCCCATTATTCACACTTCATTATTTTGCTTCAGCTGGTGTATTTTGACAAGTTATTTTATGACTATAAATGTATTTATATATTTATACAAGCGTGACTTTAATATTCCACATAAATGTTGCATCAGTGTAATGCCTCCCTCCCTCTGTGCTTCTTTACAGTGAGCTGTCCTCCAGACATCAGACCTGTGCCCCCTTCAGCAATGTCAGAGAATCCGCACTCATCTGATGGAGCCCAGGGGAGAAAACTGAAGCACTACCTACTTCCACAGCACTGAACCACATGTGTCTACAATTTACTCCACACTGATAATTTATTTTTTTATAATGTTTTACTGGTAATGTGCAATTTTGAAAGGCTACCACTAATAAACTTCTTTTTTTTTTTACACATTTTTGTTTGAATATGTTCAGAAAAGCTTTTTTTTAATTTTGAGATCTTCTACACAATTCGCATCCTTGTATGTTCCCACTGAAAGAGACTCAAAATGTCTTTGCCAAATATCATACAAACAAGAAATATCTTTAATGTGCCCTATGCAAATGACGGTAATTACAACTTGAACACTTGATTACTCTGTATTCAGTTGTATAATTACAAGGGAGGGTCCCTTATTCATTGTTCACCACTCTACTACCGCCATGTAAGTAGCTGTATTGTTGGCTGTTGCAATTTTTGACAGGCATACCTGATTTACTGCTCTAATAATCTGTCATTGCCAACAGTTTTCAGAAGACTGGATCTTCAAAGTGCTGGATTCAGATGAGTGTTGGGTGGAACAGGCCGGCACTGCTTCTTGGCAGCATCACAGAGATGTAACTGTAGTTTATGGTATCCAAAGTTGTAAAACTGCTATAAATTATATTTATTTTTACCTTTTCAGAATTGGCTAACTTGGTTGTTTTCCTCATTTTAAATCCCATTGGTTAGATTGTGAGTGTGAGGAGTGAGCCAGTGTAGTGACCTATTAAAACAGAGGAATGTCCAGAATGGATGCACCCTTTGACCTGTGATGTTTAGAGCTGGGGCCGAGGCCTGGTCCCATTGGCTCAGGTGGGCAGGGGTCACATACCTGTGCTCAGTTGAGCAGCCTGAAAGCGTCGTCATAGTGCAGTGTAAAGGAATTGGAAACAAAGGCATTTTGAAGAGAAAGCAAAACAAAGAATAGTCAGATATTAGCACAAGGGAGATTCTGCATCTTACACAATGGTTTCCAGTGAAATTCATTATCGTCATGTTGAGAAACACAGGTGCCAATACAACTGTATTATTCTTGGACAAATCAGGGTTTTTGAAATATACAGGTTAATTTTGATCCCAAAATATATACGCACTTCACAGGATTGAGTTGCACCAATAAGGATATCTAGAATAATGGCATACATGACAGATGTGTATTGATGTGTATTGATGTGTATTGTTGTGTAGAAATTTGTTGTGCCAATCTCTGATGAAAAAAGCTATAAAAGCTTGTGATTGTGAGCTAAAAGTGAAATTATCGTTTTTAGAATTGTGGAATAATTTACTAAGAATGCTAAATCTGTATTGTTCACTATCAGGGTAAATAGCAGCTTGTCACACTTTTCTCAGGGTGCAGTGTGGCATGTACTCTTGGACCTGAAAAGGCTTGTTTTATTTCTTTATATCTAAAATCAGTCTTCTGTTTTCTTCTCTCATCTTGAACTTGATTAGATATCATTTATGAGAACAGTGAGCCAAAGCTTACTATAAAAACAGGAGGACATTTTCATAGAGATAGATTGTGAGTGGGAGCTGGATGAGAAGTAGAGGTTAATGATTGCCTGCTGTTTCCGAGCGACCGCAGCTAATCTACAATCACATTCTTTCTGTGCAGGGAAAGTGGAGGAGAGGCCTGGCACCTGATAGCTGTGCACTTGTATCGTGTGGTAACTCAGACCATCTCCAGTTCAGCCCTGGCAAGAGCTGCCCCATTCAAAGCCACTGATATCTGCCAACTGTGCAGCATTAAAGCCCTGGCAACGCTACAGAAGAAGGTATCAAGTGTAAAGTGCTGGGCTAGGGCTAATAGTGTTTTGACATAAAAGAAAGTTGGGACTGACTCATTTAGCTGCAGTGGATCACAGTGCAGTGAGAGTGAAGGGGGTTTATTATGAGACTACTAAAACAAATGGAAAAGAGGGACAGGAAGTGGCCATCAGGAAGTAGCACTGACAGCAACAGGCTGCATCTGTTTCCAGCTATTCATCTGTTCATCCTGACCACACTCGACTTATTACACCAATCACACAGTCTGTCAAAAGTAAGCTGTCCTGTCCCACAAGGACTCGGTTTTATCTTTTAAAAATGATGTTTTAACAAGCAGCAATCTGAGTACAAACGGCCACAAGGGCATTTCAGTTCTTCTCCGAAAAAGGGTAAAGAATAACTGAAATATGTGTGTTGCACAGTAGTCGGTATTTCTGGTTAGGGTGCATATTTACTAGTATATATTTTGCTGCCTCTGAAATTGCATCTTTTAAAAAAAACTGCAAATACAAAATACTATGATAAATAATAATCACGAGATAATCTTGCATTTAAGCCTTTTCTTGACTGACTGCTTATCTCTAATCTTCTGAAGGTCTTGAAAATAAGATTTTTGTGTAAATCATTTTCAATAACATTCTCAAGCAAATTGTTTTAGCTGTATTGGATATTTCTTTTTTTGGGTGTGTGTGGATCTTCTTGAGATGTGCAATGCATTGACTGCAGTTACATGTACACAAGAATCTGATTATTATCAGATTTCTCGACCTTTAACATGACTTAAATGACATGCAACCTGCAAAAAAACTGAGTATTTATAAGGACCATGGTCAGATGATTTTGCTGTTTACAAGTTCATTTAATAATCTTATTACTCTAAAGATCTAATAACCTGATTTTATGAGTGCTTGTAACCAGAGTCAGTGTCTACTCAGGACTTTTTAAACTAGGCCTGTCACGATAATTATCAACTTATTGTTCAATACATGACAGATGGAACAATACTTTTTGGGGGTCAACATTTATCGTGGGTACTTTTTCTTTGCATTAGTTGGAAAATGTTGGTTATTTTTCTGTAATACAATTAGATTTGAGCTGTAGAAGGTTGAATTATGAACTTCTATGAGTCATTATAGAGACAAACTAACTGTCTAAGTGTTGCATTCTGTAATTTATATATTGCAGCTCATATTTTTTTATTTTTGGAGAATTTGGGGATAATTCTGGTTGTTGGTTTTGTTTCAGTATTATCATTTATCACTCTTCAAATTGTGTTATCGTGACAGGTCTACTTTAAGCATTACTTTTTGTCAGTTTATTGAGAAGATAATTGAGAGTAGTTACACACGTGCTCTGTAGGAAGTGTTCCACCCACAGAACCTCTTATCAGTGTGCAGTGGGGAGTGGTCTGGGGAGAGGGGTCTCCGTCGGTCTCCTGTCTGCTCTGCTCTGTCTCAGCTCAAGTGTGTTTAAGGAACCTTGACATGAGTTTGTGTTCGACAGCACAGAGGAACGCGAGGTCAAGGCCTGGCTCCTGGTTGATGGTTAATCGGCAGTGGACATTACTGGGAATGGGGGGGCCTCATCAGTCACAAAGCAGCACAGTGAAGGCCAGGTCCACCCCTGCTGATACAATGACAATAACAATACAATTACAATATAAACTGCATATAGTAATTGGAACTGAACTGATCCCAAGCTCTGTTAAAGGGAAAGAATGCTGTAGAAGACATACCAGTTGTTTCGTTGTTAATTTGTTAATTGGATAGTTGTTGGAGTGACAAAAAGTGCAAAAAATAAAATAAAAAATCCAGGATGTTGATGGCCATCTTATAATAATATGTTTCAATCATTTAAAAAGCAAGCACACAACAGACATTCTAATATGTAATTTTCAGTCTTCACATTTTTTGGGCTTCAATAAGGTCTACTGTGCTAACCTAGGTAACAAACAGAAACTGTAAACTTGTAGGTGGGTTAGTTTCAGTGTAGTTAGCTCCTCTGTTCAGGCAAATATAAGGCAGTGTCCATTGGAAATCTAAACAGAACTGAAGAAGCAGCTTGGATGAGCTGCAAGAAACGTCCTCATAAAAAAAAACTTTTGTTCAGCTGACTTAATTGAATTTTCCTTCATCATAATTTTTAAGGATTTCACAAAACTACACCTACATTTTTCATTTAAAATTGAAAGTAAGTCTATCGATGACAATTATTTTAATCCTGTAATTATGATTTACAGTACAACTAATACAGCAATGTAGACTGTTTGTAATTTGTAGTATGCGCATCAAAGAATTCCTTTCACTAATCAACTCTTATAGTTCCTTGTACGCACGCCTAATTCCTCAGATGACTGGCTCCTCTCAGAGACTGTCACTCGGGCTCATGTGTATTTGATCTCCCTCAGTGATGTCACCACTCATCTCTGTATCTTATAAAAGTCTCTATAAAAGTGTGGCTCCTCCCTGTAGCCCCTGAGTCTGGAGAAGGATGCACTGCGTGACGGCTCCGTGTAAACAGCCAGGGAGCCGCAGAGCAGAACCAGCTCATCTGGTTCCTGAGCGTCACCATTGCCCCCTCCTCCTCCTCCTCTTCCTCCTCCTCCCACTATAAATCTCAGACTCTTATTACTGTTGTTTATCACACGGATCTCACAGTCCATCTTCAAGTCTGTTCGAACACTGGTAAAATGTAATTGGGTTCAACTCAGAATTCACTACTTTACAAAACACGCTGGTACTTCGTAAGGTAACATCAAGTATATTTGCCCATCAAACAAAACATGTCTTGTGTCTTTATTAGACTCATGATCATTTACTTTATAGGTTAGTTTTTTATTTCAGTAAACATGGTAAGATTTTGTCTGGTTTTATGTTGTTGAAGCTTATTATTATTATTATGGATACAATACTGGCATTAAATATATATCTGCACCAGTATTGAAAATTTTGGTGGATCGGATAGTGGCGTCCAAGATATTGGTTCAGCCGATATCCCAATTTTGGTCTATAACTTGGTGTAATACGATGATTTACTGACTGTTCAGTATTTACAAAATCCATTTGGATATTTTTTTTACCTTAGGCCTAAATAGTATTTTCACTCTTTTAACTAATGTTGGTGACGATCATGCATCAGGTTTTAACATCAGTATTGGAATAGAAAAATCAGATCAGGGCATCCCCTCCCTGCTTATTATAAATAACAGCAAATATTGTCATTCAAGGCAATTGACTGTGTGCAATAAAACAAAATGTTAAAGTGAGTACTTGACAGAGCAGTGTTAAAGGTGCTGTTACTTTTCCGGGGTGTAGGGTTTTTCAATAAAAATAAATACACCTGTAATTGAATG